ATTTATAGATTATATGTTATTCATATTAAATATATTGATTATTATTTATTAAATATTAAACATTATTTTAAAAGTTCTTTCAAATTTATTTTTCAATAATTAAATAAATTGACACATAATGCCAGTGGAAAAGAAAATTAATTTGAGCTGCTATTACACTGAACAATGATAATAGCAATGTGGAACACACAACATTATAATAAGGTATTCAGTTAGGTTATGTGTCCTAACCCTTTTCCTTCAGGAACATGAAACTATACCAAAAAATTCATTTTGTAGTTCATGTTGATAATATTAATGAGCCTTGTAAGTGTCTCAAGCAATGCTGTGGTAGACATCAATCGCTTGCTGTGGAAGTGAGGGCATCTAATGTAGCGCTAACCATATGATCAACACTAAGATGACACTGTAAAGTGTGAGACATCATGTACACAAATCATCATGTATGACTGGCAGATTCTCTATAAAGGTTTTCTAGAGAAGATAATATTTCTTGAGAGTGAAGAGGAGGTAAACTTGTTGCCTATGTATTTTTTGTGTATTTTTATTTTATTTAAAAGTAAAGTACATATTCAAAAAGTTACTCATATTAATATGTAGATTAATTAAATTCCAAAGAAAAATAACCATGTTATTTTTTTTTCTTTCTTTCTGATACTCAGGTCAAGAAATAAAACAAAAAAAAAATGAGACCATCTCCAGAAACAAACACTACTATACCTAGAGACAACACTTTTTAATATTTCTTTTTACTTTTATGAAACACAAGAACATTTTAAGACACAATATTTATTGTTTTCAATGTATATAATAGAGTACAGCTTTAAAACTATACTTATTTACTCATTAGTGGATCATTGTTAGTTTCTAATTTTAATATTTCTTTGAAATATTTAGCATCTAGTCTATAGTAAATATTTCCTTTATTAGTTAAAATATAAAAAACATTTTATTAAACTCTTTACTAATCAATAATTACATGATTGATAACAATGGAGAGGAATTTTTAAAAAATTGTTCATCTTAATAGATTCTAAGCCTGAGTCTAACCAGAATTATAATAAACATATGGCTTTTCTAGTAGACTTCCATATCTTAAAGTCAGTGGAGGACTACATCCACATCGGACACCACTATCAAATAATAAATGCTACAATTGCTCTAAAAGCCACTATCTTACAAAATCAAATCGATAACCACGTGGAAAATGTGTATTCTGAAGCATGCACCAGTATATAAAAACATTGTTTTAAAGCTGTACTACACTACCGTTACAGTCTACTTTCATTAAAATTACTTAATAATAATTTTATCTAGCATAATTCATTATGCATAATTTATTGTAATCTTATAATAAGATTTTTATATTTGAAATTGAAAACAACTTGTATAAAATTTAAATCACACTTTTCATGCTCTGGCTCCAGGCAAATTAAGTGGTTTAGCAAACAAATAAATTCTCAGACACTTGAATGAAGTATTTTCATAAAATCAACTTTTTATATCCCGTATTAATCCTACAATAGAGTTGATACATATTACATAACTTTCAGAAAGTATTAGCTTAGTTTAGGATTAAGAAACAAAGTTCTGTGTTGGCTTTGTAGCTGAGTCCATAGAATGCTTCTGAGGCTGGCACGAAGCCCCGGGCTCTAAAGAGGTGTGGTAACACATGTCCACTAGCATTTGAGAATTAGAGGCATGAGAGTTAGAAGCTGGAGTTCAAGGAAAGAGATGGTTCCAGAAGACTGGGTGCTCTACTGAGTACTCAGATTTGCTTCCTTATACCCACTTGGTTACTGGCAACCCTAGGACCCTAGGACCCAAGGACCCTAGGACCCTAGGACCCTAGGACCCTAGGACCTCTATGGCTAACTAGTATGGGTGCTGGGATTGAAGGTGTGTGCCACCACTGTGGCTGATTAGTGTGGCTGCTTTGTCCTCTGATCTTTAGGCAAGCTTTATTTATTAAAACACAAGTGTTCTACCACTATACGTTACCATTGGTGACACATAGATGGAGCAGCTTTCTGCTTGCTTCAATCTTTCTCAGTTCTCAACACACAGAAATAGAAAAGAAATATGTTCTTCAAGGGTATGTCTACAGTGGAAAACTCCCCATTTTCACTGGTATTTTGCCTCCTAGAGCAATTACCAAGTGTGGTCCTGTCATGGCTAGAAGGAAGCTCCATATCCCACTCGCAGGTAAACACCAGGGAGATCTACTGAGAGACTAGTGGAGCTCAGGTGTGAAACCTGAAGTTTTCAGGTCAGAATGCTTGATGTGAGGCTTTGAAAAACTATAAAAACAGTGATCTTGTGAAATAGTAATTCATACATGCCAAGTGTTTACTCTCGTCCACCTGTTCTCTTCATACAACAATGTCTGGCCCAGCTGAAGAGAAAATTTTCAAGTTTTCTTTTGCTTTATACTAAAAGTCCTTCAGAGATTCTTAAAAAATAATCTAATTTTTGTTCTGAAGTTTAAAAAAAAACTGATTAGAAATTTTTTCCCCAGTTATTACCCATATTCCAATAAACCTTTTCCATTTCCTCACCACCGTGTAGGCTCTGTTTGGAAGGAAATTCTAAACTGCAACCACACTTCTGAATCCATACACAAATATTCACTGTTCATCTGCTCTATTCTCAGAGCATTTCTCAGCACAAAAAGAAAATGAGATAATCACATTTGACCTTATAAAATCTTTCTTAACTGAACTTTCTTAACTGACTTTTAAAATCCTTCTAAAATTTCTTCAGTCATATTTTATATTATTTTTCTTATGGTTATTGATGAGTGAATTATTACTATTCTAAAATAGTTATCAGAATGATTTAATTGCAAAAAAAAAACTTGGAATCATCTAGTGTGTTTAGTGTGGTTGACTGAAACAAAATCATTGAAACAAGGGAAAGAATGGGACTTGCCCATCCCTGTAGTATCACAACAGTGGTGACATCTGCAGAAAATTAAATAGCATTGCCTTGGATTTCATTTTCTTTATTTCTTCCTTTTTTGTTCTCTTTCTTTTTTTTGGCGGGGGGGGGCTGTCGTGGCACATTCACGTGACATCATTTTTAATACAAGTAAGAAAGTTTTTAAATTCTCAGAAACTAGCACACTATGATCTTTCTTGCAAAATGTGAATTTTCTCTCTTAACATACAATGAGTACCCAAGATATAGCCAAGGGCAACATGTACCCACTTTCTTCATAATTTTTTATCTTTTGGAGCAAGCTGTCACTCAGCACCCGTGAGTAGCCTTAAATTCTCCATGCTCCTCTCTCAGCCTCCTAAGTGCCAGGAATGTAAAAGATATGACAAACACATGACCATTTTGATTTTTGTAGTATATGCATCATTTTTAAGTCACCAATAAGTAACTAAATATGAAGAAAAAGAAAAACTGAAAGTATATTTATTTAATAGTGTGAATTAATTTGATAAAATGTTATGTAGCATGATTAATAAAACCCAGAGACAGAAATTGGGGTTCAACCTGAAAGTCAGAAAAACAAAACAGCTAACCACTGGCTCTTACCTCTGTCTCAGTCCGCAATGGTGATCCTGCCTCCAGGCATCTAAGAATGAGACTATATAAGAGCTGTCTCCTCCTGTCTTATATTCCTCTCTAGGGCTGGGATTAAAGGCATGTACCACTACTGCCCCGTTCTATGGCAAACAAGTGTGGCTCCTGGGATTAAAGGTGTGTGTCACCACTGCCTGGTCTGCAAAGCTAATCAGTGTGACTCCCTGAACTTCAGGCAAACTTTATTTATTAAAATACAAACAAAACATCACTACTATGTTTTATTAGTCTTAAAGCTTGAAACATCTTCATATATCATGGTTTTCTGGAAGAATCCTGAGATCTTGGCATTCTTACATCTTGGCAAACATTCTGAATGAAAAGTCCAACGCATTCTCAGCTCAATTCTCAAATATGCATCAACTCCTGGCTATCCTGAGCCTACTTACATCTTAAAATGTCCATTCCACAGGTACTCTAGCATCTCTCCTGGATGGAAAGGAAAAGTAGGGGTTCATCAGCTTAGATGGCTGATAAAGTAGACACGGAAGGAAAGGAGACTTCACTCTACTCCTGAGAAATGTTATCCACTTTCACAGTACAGAAGAATTCTCTGTGGAGTAAGGGCTGAAAACTATGAAAAAGCAAAACAAAAATCTTGCATGGAACTCCTGACAATTCTGAGTGTCCTCTTCCCTCCTGCAAACACTGTTTTGAACCTGCTGGTTTCTAGTACCCCACAGCGTCCCTCAAGGTCACTGTCAAGGTCAAGCCTCCCCCGCGCCTTACCCACCCGCGGCTTGGCCAAGGCCCGGATGAGGGGCGCGACTGAGAACGGAACGGGGCCTGCAGGCGAACGGACGGCGCCGCCGCGGAGCCGAGGAGCTTCCCCAGAGGAGCGGAAGAAAGAACGGAGGAGCCCGCCTTCGGGAGACGGGCATCGGCCGACCGGTGGATCTCGGGTACCACCGGCGGCCGCCGCCACCGCCGGAGCGAGCGCGCGCGCGCCTGCCACGCGTCCATCCGAGAAGAGCCCGCCCAGGGCCCAGGACCCAGGGCCCAGGACCCAGGGCCAGGGCCAGGGCTCTTACTGACACCCATATGAAAAGTATAAAGTCCGACAATGAAAAGTGGCTAACTGTGAGAGAATTTGAAATTAAAGGGGAATATGAAAAATCAGGGAAATAGAAAAGAAGTATTCATTGCAATAGATGCCATCTTCAAGATCTGATAAAAGTATTCTGGTGGTAGATGGCTTCCATGTTTATTGGGTAAAATGGTGAATTAAAAGCTCCTATGTGACAGGCAGCTTCAGTTATTCTGGGGTGAGACAATAGGTTAGAAGCTCTGTTGGTATGACTGGTAGCTTCAATCAAGGATTTCACTGTCATAATTCACTTGTCCCAGATGTTAGCAGAATTTATCTCCATACACGATATCATATGTTTCTTCTTAGACAGGTTCCATTACATGGGTTGTTGCCATATGATAAAATCCATTTTTATTATCACTGAATTTTAAAAGTAACATGCCAGAGATGAACAACTAACAATTTTCAGATGAGGGCCTCAGACATCATGGCAGAAGGTCACAGGGCAGTTATGTTTTTCTTTGTTCACTCTGGGCTTGTTGGGTTTTCCCTCTGAAAGCAGAAGAGATCATTTATTTGACGGCTCCCAATGTTTGTTCCCACCTGTATCTCAAGTATTTTGATGCTCAAAGCAGCCCTGGCCTTTTATGCTTGGGAAATCACAACTATATAAGCACCACAGAATAAATCAAATTTGATCAAACACAAATTTGTCAATTTTCAAACTTATAAAGGCACAGAGATGGAAAACAAACAATTTATAGACAATAGTCTGAGACATCAGAACAGAATAATTACCTGTCCCCTTATCCTAGGTGGGTCTGCTTGGTAGATGTCCTTCCTGAAAGACAGAGAGTTAATGATGGGAGAGTCTTTGGTTTTAGTTTGTGAGTGAGGTATTTCTAACCACCTTCTCAAAATTTTTGTTTGTATGTACCCTTGTTAAATACAAGCTGTCTTCATCGAAACTACTCCCCATGTGCCCCACAATGAGTCAAGGAAACATTTAGATCCCCTTTTCCTGTCCTGGTGATTTTCACATGAGCTCAAACAAGGGAAGCCACTTGATCACCCACAGCTTTCAGACACACTGAGGGCTTGTTTCTCATACTCTTCTTTCCCTGTGTAGATAGCTGCATTGTACACATTGTCAGAACTGTCCTCCATGACCCAGCTCAGGGAAGACTGTTCCATGACATGGTTTTTAGTCCTAAGGCCAGAAATAGCCATCCCACCCCTTAGCTGCAGCATCATTTCCTACAGATTCCTCTCCTCCACAGTAGTAACTGCAGGTAGGGTATGAAGGTGCAGCCTTGCCCTGGCCAGGGGTTCACACCTGTACTCCCCATGCTTTAGATGCAGCTCAGCCAATACTCAATGAGAAAACTTTTGTCCTTTATTGTGAGGATGACACAGGGATAGGCCATCTGAGACACAGTCCAGAAAGATCTGTGTACCCTACATCATAAGAAATAGATTCAGCTACCAAGGAAACCTCCTGGTATTCCCAGTTTACAAGGTCGATAAAAGTGAAGAACTAAGAACTTATTTCAAAATGATTTCTCTTCTATTACTTTTATTTTTGTGTAGGTGGAGTTGAGGCAGGCCTCACTCTGTAACCTCTCCTGGAACTCACTACAGAGTATAAGCCATCCTTGATATCTGAGCAATCTCCTGTCTCAGCATCCCCAAGTGCTGGGATTACAGGTCTGACCCATGATACTCAGCTGTTGAAGAACAAGTGTGACACAATGACCTGGGAGAGGAACTGTGGGGCAATCTTGTAATGCAGGTATCCATTTAATTCACCATCTTACCCAGGAAACACGGAGCTATCTACCACCAGCATGCCTTTATCCAATCTTGAAGACGGCGTCCATTGCAATGAATACTTCTTTTCCATTTTTCGTATTTTTCATATCCCCCTTTAATTTCAAATTCTCTCATAGTCAGCCACTCTTCATTGTCGGTCTTTATACTTCTCATATGGGTGTCAGTAAGACCAAGACCAACTGAAGAGTCAGCTATAAAAATACATGCTCTTGACCCATAATATCCTGGATCTGGGGCTGAGGGTTAGGCTCAGGAGGATGTGCATTTCCTTCTCAGTCATCAGAAGCCACACACCCATCCTGATAGGCAAGGACAGAGAATGACTACCACTGATGTTATCCTTTATGCTTTTCCTAAAAAGAATTCGTCTATTTTATGTGTATTGTTGTTTTGTCTGTCAGCGTGTCTGGGTACACCATCTTTTCTTATTGCCCACAGAAGTCAGAAAATGGCATTGAATCTTCTGGAACTATAGTAATAGATGGTTGTGAGCCAAGTGTAGTTGCTGGGAATTGAACCTGATGTCCTCTGGAAGAACAGTCAGTGTGCTTAACCACAAAGTGCTCTCTCCAGCTTTGACATTACCTTTAAAAGCATTCTACTGTAATGTTAAAAGATTGTCAAAAGGAATGGCTCTAATACGTGACCAGGATTCTTAACTCTTTCTTTTATTGTGACCCAGTGTAGGTCCAACTTGCATTTCAGAAAGGTGAGTGAGGGCAGAAATTTCCCTGCTGGACTCTCGTGAATCCAGCCATGAGGAAGCTGTCACTACAGCTACTTCTATAACATTATACTCCAGGACACGACAGTTTGTTATTCCTCATATTTTAGAATCATGACTAGTTGATGTTAAAAGTCATTTAGAAAATATAGTCAACATGGAACAGCTAAATTGCATGTAGGCAGTTGAATCACAGTGAAAACCCTTACATCTTGCTAAGAAAAGAACTACCATGGTGCTAGGGAAATGGTTCAGTGGTGAAGGGCACTGCTGCTCTTGCAGAAGACCCAGGTTCAGTTCTCAGAATCCACATGGGAGCTCACATCCACTAGTCCAGATCTAATGTCCACTCCTCATTTCCATGGACATCAGACACACTCAATGCACAGACACATATGCTGCCAAACACACATAGTCAGAAAATAAAAATAAACCATAAAGAACTGTACTATGTAAAGGAAGAACAAACATGATAGAGGACCAGTGGCACTGTACTCTAACAACTACAATTTCCACACTATTTTATGTCTATTATCTTTTTATCACAGGAATGTGGTGAGAGAAGTTTTATTCTCATTTCAAAATAGAGGAGGCTTCATATTAGGGAGCCTGAGGCAGATGACAGAGAAACTGACTTGTGGTTGAGCTATGGTTTTAAAGTTCCCCCCAGGGGTTGTTATTGACAACCTGGTCCTTGACAATGTGGTATGTGAGGTGGCACTAGATCATGGAGGGTGCTGCCTTTGGGAGGGATTAAGATAGTTCTCATGGGACCCCAATCACTGTCTGGCTTGCTGTCTTACGGTGTGATCTCTTTCTCCTCCATGTCATACACCTGCCATAATGCCACCTGCCAACAGTCTCTCCAAAGGCCCATATATGAGGCTACCTGACCTTGGCCTTTATCCTCTCAATCTGTCAGTTAAATAGAGCAGCCTGACTGAATATTTCAGTATAGCAAAGAACACTGGAATAATACGTTGCAATACATGCGGCGGGGTTGCATCCCCTGGACCCAGCCGCCCGCATGGCTAGCTTATGCCCTGAAATAATTACACAGAAATTGTATTCTTTTAAACACTGCCTGGCCCATTAGTTTTAGCCTCTTATTGGCTAATTCTCACATCTTTGATTAACCCATTTCTAATATGCTGTGTAGCACCACGAGCTGGCTTACCAGGAAAGATCTTAACCTATGTCTGTCTGGAGTGAGAGAATCATGGGGACTGGCTGACTGGGCTTTTTTCTCCCAGCATTCTGTTCTGTTTACTCCACCCACCTAAGGGTTGGCCTATCAAATGGGCCTAGGCAGTTTTCTTTATTAATTAACCAATGAAAGCAACAGATAGAAAGATGACCCTCCTCCATCACTAATACACCAAGAGAGCTAGGTTAGAGTGTACCCAAATTCCAATCCAAATCCTCTGTGTTTTCTTACTTAGCTTAAAGTTTGACAGAGGTTACAGCTAATGGACCCACAAAGGTTGATACTGACTTTCTAAGACACATATACTTCCCATCCTGGTGTTTAGGGCTTACTCTTGTCTGAGATGCTAAACAGGTTTCTTATTGGCCATTTGCACCATAGTCAAGGGAGGTAGCCCGATAAGCTACAGATGTTTGATATTTAAACAGAAAACTGATTTGGATACAACTCTGTGACAGAGCATTTGTCTCACATGCACAAGACCCTGAGTTTAATCTCAGTCCTACAAGAAAGAGAAAAAAAGAAAAATATGAAAACTGTCCCCATTCCTGTTCCTTTTGGGTTTGGTGCAGAAAAGAATGAACACAGCAGCCTACGACTCTCCTGGGAAATGCTGCCTGGCACAGTGGAACTTTGGGTGGAGTCTGCAAATGAGGCTTTGTAGAGCGCTTCTGTCACTTGCAGAATCACAGAATGAATCTCCATGCCCCAACCATTTACAAACAGTTCACGTCACACTTGAGACCTGCTGTACTTGTGGGTATCTGCATTTGGGGTGCGCTATGCAGTTAGGTACCTGCATAACTCATAACCCTGGCCCTGGGCTTGGGCAGCTCCTTGGAAGAAAGTCTTTCACACTTTCATTGCTGGGGTGGTAAATTGCACCCTGTGTGTCCCAACTAGGAGAGCAATGTCAAGAGCTGTGGACTTGGCCTCTCATGCCCTCTCCTCAACAGTAACTTGGCCCCAAACCCTCGCTTCAGTAAGGGGTGTGACCTTGCCAATATCCTGAATCCTAAGAACTGGTTCTGGGACAAGATACCTCCAAAACAGATGCCCACTCCCTACACAGTGCCATTGTCCAAATAAAGAGCACAGAAGATCTGAAACTCACCATGCGCAAATTTCTCTTTATACAGAGTCCCCTTAGAGTTAACCACAGGTCACCCGAAGCTCAGGTTGGCTAAAATACACATTGTTCCATTGTGAGTTCTCAGATCTGCAAGGACACATTTCATTTTATTGTAGAACTGTGCATGGCTTTTCCTCCACCCACTTTGGTATTTTGTTTCAGCAACTAAAATGCTCTGGGTTTTCCCATGAATTAGTTACATTCAAAGATATTTCTTTTATAGATGATTAGATTCTTCTAGCTAACAAGCTGCTCTGTCCCCAACCTCTGAACTGCATAGTGACTGCCGCCTTGTGTGTCAGAATCCCAGCTCTCAGAATTGTTGGTCCCAGCAGTCCCTGTGTTGCGGGAACTCCCCCAGACAATAGCCTTTAGGATACTGGCCCACTCTGGGCGTGGTCTCATGTACTTTAACTGCCTGAAAGCTGAGCAAGGTTTGGGTTGGCTGATCCTCAGTAGGGACTTGGTAATTTCTAGCCCTCCTACCCCTGTGTGGCTCAGTCTTGATAGCTAAGTGGCTGAGTAACTGATAACTGCAGATTCCTGCGGCAACTCCTCTGTGGCTTCTCTGACCCATGTGGCTCACTGCTGCTACCCAAGCTAGGGTCTGCTTCTCAGGTCCAGCTGCTGTCTGGCCTGCTCTGATCAGCCTGAGCTCTATGCCTGCACCTAGAAAACTGGCTTGCATTCCCAGATTGGAACCATGAGAACCACTGACCCAAAATCCACCAGCAACTTCACAGCTCGCAATTGCCTGCAAGCTCTGAGTCCTTTGAGCTTCTGCCTGTGAAGCTCAAATTTCTCCCTGTGAAGGTGCGCTACTTTTAAAATTTTTTGCTGAGTCTCAGGTGATTCAGGCCCTGATCTGCCTTACTGCCACAACTCTGACACCTGCTGAAAAATCCACAGTATTACACCTACAATTTTCTCAAAATTATAAGGGAGGTAAGTTAACTTGATACCTAAGTATCAGATTGATTGGTAAATAAATAAATAAACAAATAAATTTGAAGATTGTAAACCAATCCCAAGATAATTGTAGACAATATCACTACCCAGGAATATAATAATATTTTTTGTTTCTGCTATGAATGGATTGATGCAAGAACTAAGCTGTATGACCTACCTGGTACATATATTTTTGGGGCCATGGTGGCTATTATTTTTTTCATATGATATCGCTAAAGAAATGGTTTCATAACAGAGTCAAGAATGAGAGACTTTTAGAAATGATACAGTCTTTATTGACTCGTAATGAGAAGTTATCTGTAAGGATTCATACTTTTGTCACTTCTTTTTTTTAGTTTTTTTATGATGCTTTTTTAAATTTTTTTAATTTATTTATTTATTAAGGATTTCTGCCTCCTCCCCGCCACTGCCTCCCATTTCCCTCCCCCTCCCCCGATCAAGTCCCCCTCCCTCATCTGCTCCAAGAGCAATCAGGGTTCCCTGACCTCTGGGAAGTCCAAGGACTGCCCACCTCCATCCAGGTCTAGTAAGGTGAGCATCCAAACTGCCTAGGCTCCCACAAAGCCAGTATGTGCAGTAGGATCAAAAACCCACTGCCATTGTTCTTGAGTTCTCAGTATTCCTCATTGTCCGCTATGTTCAGCTGGTCCGGATTTATCCCATGCTTTTTCAGACCCAGGCCAGCTGGCCTTGGTGAGTTCCCGATAGAACATCCCCATTGTCTCAGTGTGTGGGTGCACCCCTCACGGTCCTGAGTTCCTTGCTCGTGCTGCCTCTCCTTCTGCTCCTGATTTGGACCTTGAGATTTCTGTCCGGTGCTCCAATGTGGGTCTCCGTCTTTGTCTCCTTTCATTGCCTGATGAGTTTTGAAATTGACCATCAACATCTGTTAAAAAGGTATGATAAGCCAGGAGATAGAACATCCCACCAGGAAGGCAGTCTACATGCCATCCAAATAATATCTATGGATAAGAAGATATAAGTGAAAAATTTAAAACCTTGAAATAACATGTGCAGAATGAGAACTAGAAATTAATTGATTTGAGGAACTCATTAGAAATATTCAGAGGTCAAGAGGTTTA